CCCCAAAACCCCAAAACCCCAAAACCCCAAGGTGGAGGAGAGGTATTGGAAGAATTTAAAGGAAATTATTGGAGTTTTTTGAGTTTTGCGTAGGAATTTTTTGATTCTTCCATGATGATGTTTTTGAACTTTTTGATCTGTTGGGTCTTTTTGTGCTTGAAGTATTTTCTAGAGGGTGATGGAGAGACTTACTGGATCATTATGCCGATTCCGTAAAAGATGATGGAGACCCAGTTGATTATAATGGTTCCGATGACTATTCCAACAAAAGCAGTGCCTAGAGTTGTATTTAAGCTTGGAGTTATTGTAGGATTCAAGAATCTGAAGCACCCAGATATCATCATGACAAGTAAAAATTCGTTGAGGATGCTCAAGTATATTGATAACAAAGAGTCATAAGGTCTGATGATTATTAAGAAAACTGCCATTCATAATGTGACTGTAATTGTGGAAACCAATTGGAACCCTGGGGATGACTCAAATAATACAAATATTGAAGCGTAGACAGCACGTCTGAAATAAAATATACTAATAAACTGAAAGCACAGAGGTCCTGAGGTTTTGAGTCCTGCTATAATGGTTTTGTAGCGCTTTTTGAAATCTTCTGAGTTTAAATCACCTGTTCTATAAACGATTTCGAACGACTTTATCGGAATGTACATGACAAAGAGCATGCCAACCATTGCTGAAATGTTTGAAATATAGCTTGTGTCTCCTCCGCTCCAAGATAACTAAACAGTGAGAAAGAGGGTCTTACAGTGTAGATATCAAGAACTGATCAGAGACAGAAACTGAGATAAAACTGAGAAACACTGCGGATAAGAAGCCCATATCTGACTTTGGTATCGATCATTCTAATTATCTTTCCTCTATATTTACATTAAAACCCTCAAGTAACAAAATTAACGATTGCTGATTTAGAAATAAACTCAATAAAAGTGTATAATATTACTCTTTTCCAACACCAGTAAACTATTAACAAAATTGTCCAGAGATAAAATAGAAAAAGCATTAGAAGGAGGTGTAATTTTGAATGTAATTCTTACAAGAAAGATTCTCCAAAAGTATCAAACAGCACAAATGATATTCCCATTCCCAAGAACATCATTCCCCAAAGTTCAATCTTCCTTCCAGAATTATGGAGCAGTTTCTCTGTTTTGAATTCTAAAAATAAGCAGAAGAAAAGTACCCATCAATTCGAAATAGTTGTTGAAAGGCTGTGTGTTCTTTGGTATAAAGTATTCGAACAGATTCGGGAGACCTGCTGGCTCTCCATGCAGCACTGCTAAGTTCTTTGAAAACTCTCTGAAGTTTCCAGGTAAGTTCATATTAAAGAGAGGAACAAATGACATCAGCTGGATACTTCCGAAGAGTAGCCAAGTTGCCTCTACAGTACCACCAAGTGCCACTGAAATCAATGTGCTGGATCCTAATGCAAGAATCAGACTCAAAAGACTGGCACTGGACTGTGTACTTGCTGCTGCTTTTTCTTCTTCAGAGATATAGACTTTGAAGAATGGAATTGTTATATCAACGGTAGATGTTGTCAAAATATTTCCATCTGCATCGGTAAATAATTCTGGCTTGTTAAAAGTTACAGTAATTTTCTCTATAAAATAATATAACAGCTTACCTTTATGTTCTCCAGCAAGGCTAGATAAAAACTCAAACTGTATTTTGAACCTATTCCTGATTTGCCCAGTGACATATTCTGTTGTGGAGTTAATAGTGAAATTGAACTCATAAGGAGCAAGAGGACCATCAATCGATATTGTAATATCTCCTTCTGAATATTCTCCAAATGTTACATTTTCTGAGAAAGCAATTGAAGCCAGATATGTTGAGCTACTAATAAACGTCAGTTCTGCAGTGGGCCCTATGAGACTAATGCAAGTATCAGGAGTTGTTGTGCTGCCACCCTCACATTTCCAGTCTGTTTCTATTGTTCAAAGAGCACTACATCCGTCTCCACTGATGGTGTTGCTATCATCTCATTCTATGAACCCAAGATTATATCCTTTTCCACATTGTTCAAGACAGGTGTTAGAAAGAGGTTGAAATTGTAACCCAGCATTTATTTCTGTGCAAAGTTGGCAAATTCCACTTGATTCAGATATAAACCTTGAAAAGGGGCAGGACGTGCAATTGTTATAATTTGGTCCTATTCACTCTTTTCAACTATCATGGCAGTTGTTGCAAGAATTTGTTGTACTGTTATAGAATGTACCCTGAGGACAAACCAAATATAATCAGGTATCTGGAGATACTAAGGTATATCTGTTTGAAACTGCTCAAGCAGTACACTGTGTTGATAATCCTCCATAACACTCAGTACAGAAGGAGTGGCAATTTTCACATTTATATGTAAAATCATCACCATATTTTCCAGTTGGACAAGGAGTTACACACTGATCGACATTCTCATAATATGTATGTGTAGCATTCCTTTGACATTCAGTGCAGTCGTAGTCAGTCGAACCATTTCATGTCTTGCATGCTTGATTACACACTAATTGTAATAAAAATGTCTTACATTGGCAGGTATTATCTGATGATTCTCCATAGTATCCATTTGGACAGACCGTTTTACAGACTGTTTGATATAGAAAACGCCCTGTATCACAACTCAATCAGTCGTTGATGGTTGGGCCATCTCAAGTAAGACAACTGATATGACAGTGCACTATAATGTTAATTAAAAACTTACGCTTAGTTTCTAATTGTATTGAAGCATATCCTACAAGATTGTCAGCATCACGAGCATATATTCTCAAAGGAATAAGTTCGATGAGGAATGTTGGATAAGTTCCAGAAAATTCAAAGTGCCCACTTGTACTTGTGTCTGGATATGTAATAGTGAGCCACGATGGAGGAGAACTTGACCCATCATCTAAAGTAACCCAATAACTTGTAATCACAGCATCGTCTGTAATAATATTATTTGGAACTTGGAAATATGAAAATGAGAGAGCAACAAATTCTCCAAGCCTTGACACAATTGCTGGGTTATCCTTTGGCTTGAACTTTATTGTCATTGTGATTGTAGTATTACTTGGAGTGTTATATGCATCTCCAACAGTTAGCGTGAATGTCATTGGACTCGTCAAAGAACCATAAGGAGTATAGGTTAAATTTCTAGTTGAATGGTCAAATGTGATCCATGATGTATTGAGAGGACTCCCATCAGAATTTACAACATTGTAGCTTATTCCATTTCCTTCAGCATCAACAAAAGGAAGAAAAGCTGTATAGTTTTGAGTATCTTCATATCCTGTGATTGAAGTCTGAAGTCCAACTGGCTGGGTAGGAGGGGTATTTTCGATTACAACAATTGTGAGTATATCTAAACGTGATGAAAATGAATCAGATGCAAGAACTTGCACTCTATGGGTTCCTCCAACATCAGATGAGCTTGGGAAGCTAGTAACTGTAAGAATATTTGAGCCTGAAATCGTTGCTGTAACAAAAGCAGGAAAAGACACAAGAGAGAAAGTTAAGACTTGGTTTGGATCAGTCTCTTGAAATACTTGAGCTAAGTTGAATGTTTCAGTATAAGTTCTGTTATCTTCATGAGTAACTGTCCCCATTGAGGAAGCAACATTAGGCTGATTATTGGTAATTGAAACTGTAAATTCTTGCGTCTTATTATTTGATAAATTATTTGTGCAAATTAGTTTGACTGTTGCTGTTTGAATAGCAGTAGTTGTAATAGTAAATATCTTTGTTGTTGCATCAAATGAAATCCATGAAGGCAAGTTATTTCCATCAGCCAAAGTAGCGGAATATGTGAGAGGTGAAGAAAATCCAGCGCCATTTTTAAACATTGTTGATACATTGTAAGATATTGATGAATTTAACGCTGTTGTTGATTGATCAGCAACAGTATCATTAATTAATGGCCTTTGACCATCAATTTGCATAATAAATTGAATTTCAGTATTAGACCCAGCTACCCCGAGGTTTGCTTTAAAGGAAATAGTGTAGTTGTTGGTCAATGAACATGGGATGTTACTTGCAGTTAGTACTCCTGATGAGCTTAGACTCATCCATGTAATTGGAGTGTTATCAGCAGTGTTTATTAATGTAGTATCGGAAATATATATTGATTCAAGATAATTGTCTAAAAATAATACAAATGTTCTTACCTGCATTTGGGATAGTACAAGAACTAGTATGAGAGGTTCTAATCAATGAGCATAAATCCCAAGTGGATAATGTAGCATTATTTCATAATTTTAAGTATGTTGCCATAGGATTTGTTAACGTAGATGTAAATGAACCACAATTATCTTCTTCCCAAGAAGTAGCTGTAGCATCTGAAAGTACTAGAGTTCCTGATCCCATTGTAAAACTAAATTTTTAAAGATTTCATTACGTTGTTGTTGTTGGGCTATTCACGAATTTTCCTAAATTAGTCTCAGATTAAAAGTTTTAGTACAATGGAGGATGTTTGAAAATGAAATTATAAAATATGCAAACGTTCTAACTAGCGCTTAAAATCTCGCATTATTTATTTCTGTTAAGCAAAATTGTGCCAACATAGAATTCTTGATAAAATTAGTAGAATTTGGAACAAATTTCAACGAAATTTTTAAAATACCATAGTGTTTAAATGAAAATGGAGTATAATAGTCTTAAATGACTTACTTGTGGCATCTCGATATTCTGTAAAATCATCTGTATGCAATTTGTCTAAAATAAATGAGTGATTTCCCAAAGTTATTTGAGTTCAACCAATACATACTTCCTGTCTTTGAATCATATGTATCTGAACATGTGGCTCCATTAGTCTATAAGTTGCCTCATTTGTAATTACCAGTAAAAATGAGGATTTAACATAGGTTCCTGAGCTTGAATAATGCAAATATATATCATCTCCTCTTTGTGACATGAATCCGAATGATGTAGAAATCTGTGATTATATCAAAATCTTACATCTGCATCATATCTCTATAATAAATTTTAGATGTGAAATTAATAGAAATTAGAGATGATAACACAGTTTCTAATAAAACAAAGAGTATAGAAATACTAATCCTGAGATTATTTTCCTACCCAGATCTTGAATCAACCTTTAAGCGTGTACGAATTATTAAAATACGAGTAAATACACCTTGTATGGCAAGAATGAGTTAATGTCTAGGTTTAAAGTCAAAAGTTTGAATTTCATAAGTTAGAACTCTAATCTCTAATTTTATATGTATCTCTTTCAGGACTAGAAATATTCGAAGATGACATTTCTGATGTTGAGTGACAAAAGCCTTGAAATGTTAATAAAGGAAGAGTTTGTGGGATATTTTGTAAACATAGAACAAATAAAAACTAATAAAGTATCTGATTTCTTTAAACATTTCAAGGTGTTTGTTACTTAACATCAGAATTGTCTTACCGTAGAATATTCTTAGTCCTGATACCAAAATTCCGTGATCTTTCTTAAAAATTTCCAAAAATTCAGCGAATACTCTAATTAATAGAGAGTCTTTGAATTTTACTTACTGCATTCACTTTTCCATCGGACAATCTTACCTTAACTACTGATACTCCATCAGCTAGATATTTTTATTAGCTTAAATTAAGACTGATAGTGAACAAATGTTAACTTTAAGGTTAAATTCTTGAGTCAGAATGAGATTTCTTAGAATAGAAATATAAGAAATTCACCATATTCTTATCAGGATATCTTTAAAGTCAATAAACTTAAAAGAACTTAATACAAATTAGCTTTAAAATTTCCCAATTCATACTTTCGAAAAGACATTTTCCTCAGTAAAAGTGTGGATTCCTCTCAAAATACATTTGTGAACCTGAAAAAGATGTCCTCTTAAAGGTATTGATAAACAACTAAAAATATCTCAATTGTTACCACTCGCATATAGAATTGAGAATTCAAATTTCACTTAGCATTTCAAGATAGTATAAATAGTAACTAGGCAGGTATCTTGAGTAACAAAAAGCGAATTAACAATTAAAAATAAGGTATTGCAATATTCGAAAAAAATACAAAAGCAAAGATAAAACTGGTGGACCCTCTATGCTAGTTTATACAAGGTAATGCTTCTTCAGAATTAAGGATGCTCAAAATGACTTCAAGGTTACTCCAACAGTGCTGGTTATAGAGGTTATCGATAAATGGTCCTTTTCAATTTATAAGTGATATGCGTGGTTGAGTGTTAACTCTGCTAAAAGTCTTCTTTCAAAAAGCTATGATATAATGAAATTAGGAAGGTATTAAGTAGCTAGAGCTAATGATACATCTCAGTGATGGAATTGCAATATTTTAGTCCCGAACTGGTCAGGATTCTTCCAACTTATATATTAATGAAAATTATCAGCTATTAAGCACGTGGATATTAATAATACTATCTTCGTTCGATTACAAGGAGTTAATTTATCAATGAGTTTTACTTACGAGTTCGCAAGAAAATGATCCCTTCATTATTTGTCTTTTGATAAAAGCCATAATACGCTGATAATTCAACCTCAGTTCTTTCTGTGTAATGAATCTTGCTTATACTTAAATCCCCGAATGGATTTATCAGATTGTAATATAGGAAATTATCACCATCGTCAGACTAAATGTTAAGATTTAGTAATTTATATTAGAAATTAGAGAGGGTTAATAATAAAATTTGTACATAATTTCAGAAACAAAAGTGAGCTAATTATTACAGTTTGATAAACTTTTTAGATTATCTTTTTGTAAACTAAAGCCAGGTTTGGACAAACTTGCACAATATAAGGCTTCAATGCTGAATCTACAAGCCAATGTTATAAGAGTTCGTGAACCTAGCTGATAAATTTAAACTGAAGTTTATAAGAAAAAGAATGTGCAATTTTAGATACTTTGTTATACAGGGATAATAATGGTACAATACTGTTCCCTGAGTATTAATAATTAAGCCACCGTGGAGTAAAGTAAATGTTGTGAAATTCTGACCTATGTGGAGAGACAGCCATTTTAAAAGAAAAGATGACAGATAAATCCACTGTACCTTACAGAAATCAGAGTCTCATGACATTCACTTTACGCCATGGAGAAGTAATTAATGGCTTTATAGGATAATGTTTAGAATTTAAGATATAGAGGGTTTAGAACAATTATTTAATTATTGGGATTTATTAATCAGAAAGGTTGCTTTTCAGTTTTGAATATCATAAAAAGAAATGGTAAATGAAATATAATGATTCCGCGATAAAATTATCATAAAAAGAAATTGTAAATGAAATATAATGATTCCACGATAAAATTATCATAAAATTGAAAATTATTGAATTAGGTCGATTTGTGGAGTCAGTAATACCTGAGTCCATTCAAAGGCTTGTTGGGATAGAAATAAGATTAAATTAGATAAATAATTGCTAATCTAAAAAAGTTGATCTTATACTCTCCATATCATATTTAACAAATTTTATCGTACATGATGTATTTTTCAAACTCAGAGAGAGAGTTAAGAGCATTTTTAAAGTTTATATCAAAACTAGGCATATCACTAAAATAGTTTCATATGTCCATAGTCAAAGGTTTTAATAAACCCTTAAGTCTATGCCAGAATCTCTTGAACTCTCTTTATATTTCCAGACCCAATAACAAAGTAGACTTACCAATATTCCAATTTCAAATATTCTTTCTCCAAAAGATGCTATATTTGTTAGACAATGAGCAAGGCATCATTAGTAATTAGCTCAAGTTTTAACAAAAATGTTAAATATGGATTCTTACTCTGTACTGAGACATAATCATAACCGTATGTATTGCCATTACTATATAAAGATTTAGACCAGAGGTATAAAGCGCATTTAATTATATCTGTATGAGAAAGGGGTTAAGATTTACTTACTCTCTGACAATGACTGTACCATTGGATGAAAATGTCATTTTGTAGAGTATATAGCTGTAACGAAAATATTGATTCGTTGCTGCATTTGGGATATATACTCTGTTAACTATATACTTCGTTTACAAGGGTTTAAATTTTGAAATTATATAAAGATAGTTTAATTTTAGAGAAATATAGTGATATTCCTTCTTTTGTAGTGAATTTAGGTTTATCTCTAGTAATATTTTCTAATCTATGGCGATTCTATCGCTATTTACAATGATATGAGGACAAATCAGGTAAAGCTACAGAAATTTTAGAGGTGAGAAGGTGATTAAGGAATTATAATATTAAATGACTATTTAAAAATGACTAATTCCAGATTATGTCAACTCATGAAATTTGGTGCACCAGGCTTTAGAGATAGCTTCTGGTTATATTTTAAGTTATTTATGTTTTAATTCTAAATTAATTAAATCATTTGAATATCTAAACTCCTAGATATGGTATTTTTGGGACATTACTTATTGTTCCATCACTTAGAATTATTCCTCTTGAATAAGATCCTGCGAAGGTGATGTTGCCTATATTATTAATAATGTTATAGAAATAATTTTAAAAGGAGAACAATTAGAGATGGCTGGTAGCCTCGTCATTTGATTATACCCTGCCACAAAAGTCAGCAATCTGTGCTTATTTTTATAAGAAGATACTACTAAGATATGGGATTTGAGATATCTTAGAGAGAAGTTTAGGTGAAACTTTGGAGTGAAGAATTTCAGCCAATAATATTCAAGCAAATTGCCTAGTTTTAGACAATTTCTGGGAAGAAATAGCAATTAGATACTTTTGAAGATATCATTGATTATTCTGGAGAGGCCTAGTTACTACTCCAATCATTTCTAAATCTTAAAGCCTTGGGTTTAGCTAGAGGTTGGATTCGATTTCTTTGATTGAATACTTTTTCTTAGGAAACAAAAATTACGGATTCAAAAATATTTATTCTATCCAAATAGAAAAAATTATGTTCCTCTCTGCTTCAAGGTGCATGAAATAGAAGGTAAAAAGAACTTCATATTTCCTCTTCTTGCTTACTATTGTTTGTTTGTAATTATTCACAGCCATTATTAAGAACATATTAGATTATACAGGTCTTAAAATGACATAATCAGCTTCTTCTATTAATCCCATTCCATTTAGGCTCATAATGAAAGCTATTAATTTACCAAGATTAATAGGGTGTTTCGATCAAATTAGCAACCCAGGCTTTGTAGATCATAGTCGTACGATTGGAAAAATGTTAGTTTCACTAAAACCGATACTATGGCCAAATTTCTCTTAAATAATCTTAAAGCTAATTGATAAATAATGCAATCTCTCTATATCTTCTAAAACTGCTTTAATTTCAGATAGCTTCATCTATTTGTCCACAAAATTTCCTGAAAGGTTAAAGAATCTCTTCATTTTAGTTCATAATTTAAGCAATCTTTGGAGATGTTAACTCCATTCTGTGCAGATTCAAATCACGCCCTTGTTAATGGCATGATCTAATCCACTTATTCAGAGAAAATATTGATTGAAAGTTTCTGAAGAACATCCTAATTTCTAAAGTAGCTAATATATTGACTCAAAGTGCAATTATTACTAATAATTAGTGTTAAATGTATGCCCACCCATCCTAAAATTTTGTTAATATAACCAGTCGGAACCAAAATTTTCATATTCTTAGTGGTCTAGCTCATATTAAAACCATAGACATCAGAGGAATGGAGAGGGCTAATCCCAGATATCTGCAGGAAGAGAAAGGAGCTCATAATTATTCACCTATTGGATACATTTCTTTTTAATAATTTAGTTATTAATAGCTTCTATACTCTAACAAACGAAATATTCTATGCTTCTGTTTTAGTGGTCTCTTGAAAATTTCCACAAGAACTATAAAAAGATTTTCTAAAGTAAAATACATGGCACAGAGCATTAAAGTTTTGAAAAATTTAGTGCATTGATGCTATGAATTGCTAATTTTAGCATTCGCTAATCTAGTTTCAGTAAGAAATACAAGAGTTTCACTTACGTATTCCTCCGCTTCCCATTCCATATGGAATAAACCCGGTCAGATATCTGCTCGCTTGTATGGAATAGTCTGTGAGACTTATTTTCAAAAGGATCTAAACCATTATTAGGTTAAAAATTTAAGAAATCTAATGATTTGAGTATAAAAGCAATAGAATTTGAAGAATAGAACACTCATTGGAGTCTAGACTATGGTTATATTGTGGTAAAAAATTAAAAATTCTAAAGCAAGAAATTTAGCAAGTGATTGGTTAAATTAGATTCAAACTTCTAAGCTGATATCTCCTTTGAGACATAACCAATACCATGATATATTGCAGTAAAACTACTTTGTAGCATTCAAAATAACTCTTCACTCTTAATAATCAATCTGATTTTTAAGAAGCCAAATAAGTCTCTATAAAGAACTTCAGAGCTGGCTTAGCCTGCTTTATAATGAACCATATTGGTATTAGAGCTGAAGAGCTATCTTGAGTGCTATAAAGTAGCCCAGCTACAATATTCCTGATAATTGGGCTTCTGAGTATATCTCAGTTTAGAAGCTTGAATAAAATTTAATCAATCCTTACTGTATTTCCTTTGTTTATACTATGAAATGATCTTATAGGAATTTATGTTATTCTACAGAGGGAGTACTATTACGTTTATTCTTATTAGAGTTGATCAAAGAGATTTAAACTTAGAATCATCCACACTCTTTTACTATTTTAACTCAAACCAGTATGAAAAAATCCATGTAAATACTCTGAATCGAAAATAATTTTCAGTGATTAAAAAACATTTTTTGAACAAAGGAATCAAAATTTATGAGGAAACCTAAAATATTTAGAGCATACCTGGGACTGATTATTTGATTCATAATTATTATTGTAAGCCAAGATCATCCCAAAATATGCTAAATTGCTTGCTGGAGTGATCAGCTATGGTGTTATTTAAAAATAATACATTAGCGCCATTGAGAGTATATATACTCATTTCCATTGGGAGATTTGGAGCTTGATTCATGGCCCTTAGGTCGAAAGTAGGAGGTGAGCCAGGAGTTACGACAATAAATGCTAAATGATTTAAGGTGCCAGTAAAAGATGCCATTCCAGTCACTATAAATTTCCCTCTCGTCTCATCAACAAAGCCATCGTGAGCCATGAACCCATGTGGATTAGGGGAACCTGGGTTTGGAGTTGTCATTTGCTTCACATATAATTTTGATGCATTATATGGACTTGATGTATCTATAATAGATTTAGGGTTTCCTTAAAGGAAATATTTACCATGCAAGTACATAATAGTAGTATAATGATCATAAGGTGAGCTCTCTATAGGATGAAATGGAACTCTTACTTTTCTCATTTGCCACAATTAGCTCTGTGGTTCCAACTCATCATAAGTACTTTCTAACAGTATAAGCATTGTTATAGGTCATTTGGTAGCGGTTATCGCAGACACCAGCCTTGGAACTTATCCATGTGAGGATAAATATGACTATAACTCATATAGCCAATCTTTCTTTTTGACATGCTATAGCTCAAGCATGATCATTGTCCTTAAAATTACTAATTTTAAAAGGTAATTTTAAGTTTTAATAAGAGGTAAATCGCCAAATAATTTAATGTAAAGGTAGTATTTTAGAAGACGAATAATAATCACTTTTAAAATTTGCAAAAATTATCCATGAGATACCTTGCCTGTTAGAGTTCTTAATGAAAATAGTCCTATCTACTTGACGCTAAGCAAACCCAAGTGTATCTTCATTTAAATTTAAAAATAATATTCATCAAAAAAATTATGAATAATTCATAACTAAAAATTCAAAAATTAGAAAAACAAGGTACTCCCCTTCCACTCCAATTAAAATTGGTATTTTAAGAGACCACATTCTTAACAAAGGGTTTAGACATTTTTCAATACTAGTACACAAACTTGCAGTCGATATTTAATCGTCAGGCAATTTTCTCTTACTAAGCTAACACCCCCTTTGAACCAAATTCAAACTACGCTCAAAAATAGCCCAAGTGTCCATAAACTCACTCCTGGACGTCTAATTCCCAATCTCTAAGCCAACAACAAAATATGAACTCTTAACTCCAAAATCTCGGCCTCATAGAAAAACATTTTCTATGTAATTTGAGAAGCTTGACGTATCCAAATTTCTGAAAGCCATAAAACACCTCTCTTCTTCCTGAAATAATTCCTAAAATCTAAAAAAAGCCCAAAGAATGCTTCTTTTACTAGTTTCAGCCTATTTCTGGCTCTAGCTTGGTTCTAAAGAGTAGTTTCCCTTTTTACCTTCCATTTTACTATATTTATAATAATCAGCTGCTGATCCTTTATTTGGGGTTTTGGGGTTTTGGGGTTTTGGGGTTTTGGGGTTTTGGGGTTTTGGGG